GAGACATGAACACGACTCACACTCAAACGGAATGGCAAGTTGCCAAGGTCGTTACACCTTGTCGGTTGTTTATACGAGGTGATTTCCTGTTTCGGTAGGATGGCGTCTCCGAGTCCCTCTCGAGGTGAGGTCACTGATTAACTTTATTTTCTCTAGATAAAGGTCGGAAGTTGTATGTAGGTGGACTGCTGAAAAGTGTTGTCAAAGATGACTTACTGCATGAGCTGGAGAAATATGGCGAGGTTGTGGACGTTTGGATTGCTAGAAATCCCCCAGGATTCGCTTTTGTTGAGTACGTTAAGTCGCAGGATGCGGAGAAGGCGGTAAGAGCACTTGACGGCGTTACTATTTGCGGTTCTCGTGTTCGCGTGGAGTTCGCCCATGGCCGTTCGCGAGAAGGTAAGTGCTTGCGTGTCAACCAGTTTTTGTGCCTCCACGTGAATGTTCGTTACTAGTCATCTCGCGGTCAACGGTAAGTCCGACACCGGGGACTTATTATTTTGATACTATGTTGGCTTGAGTAGGTGTGTTTGAAACTGGCGTATTCGACAAGGCCTCGGATTCTTGCTTGTTATTTTTGAGGTGTACCACAAGTTCGTCGTCACTCATAAGACCTCACGCGAGTTAGGAGTGTTAGGCTTATGCTTGTTGGATTGAGGTCACCAGAGATTTGCATGCAGTGGTCTGTTTGGCGAATGAGATATGCATTAGTGCATCCAATGGTGCTCGTTATTCAGTGGTTCTTAACTCGGGTTTACAGGTCAGGTTGCTACGTGTAATTTATTGAGATGTTCCTTGGTGGATGGGCAAGACTGTCAACGCGATATCTGCTAGAGAGCAATGTTCTGTCAACCATGACTCGCTGTTGATCTCCTGTTTGATTCCTTTCCCAACGTCAGCGTGCCTGTGACCGCTTCTTGTTGTTCTAACATCTGTTACACTGACCCGGCTGCTCTGTTCATTGTAGTTTAATCTACTCAGCGGACTTCGAGAACTGCGGCTACGCTTTACAGAAAAACATATACGTCTACTTGTGAGCGAACCAGTGTTTTCATTGGCGTGGCGGGAGGCGTAAATTTTCTTGGCAATCGTGATTGCTGGGACGTACATCGTCGTTAGTCCGTTATTTCTACAATGATGAGATCAGCTTTATCGAGTTTTCTTACTTGCTCTTCGAAAGCGCGAAGAAAACTTACGGCTACCTACCTCCGGTTGATTATTGTAGCGTTCGAATGTTGCAGCCACCCTACCCTTTAGTACAATTGAATCGGCGGAATTCTTGGTCGTCCTATGATCCGATCTCTATTGTGATGCCATTTACTTATCCTCGGAGCGTTTAATCCGAAGTTATTTGCCACAAATAGATGTATGCACAGTTGAGATAAATGCTCGGGTGTCAGTTATCGAATGGTGTATGCACTTCAGAACCAAACGGAAACGTTTCGCCTGTCGCGGAAATTCAGAGGTTCCTTAAAGGTGTGGGTTGCAGACAACTTATTTCCACGCCTTAACCTGCTTCTACGGCGGAGGACGCGATTCATTGTCGGTTGGTGTAAATATTCTTGCAAGAAATTTGAGCCATGCTCTACAGGGTTTTGACTTTGAATTTCTTGTCTCTGGTACTCACGTGACATGACCATTTAACAGTGGTTTCCATGATTGTTGACAAACGATGCTGCACTCGCTGTACTTGGTACTGGTTTGTCGGAATATACTCAATCGACGCCGTCTTCGCCTTCCGTCCTATCCTCAGTGGTGCTCTTATTCACGACATGCAATAATCTTATGCAAATGCAATATGATTTCCGGTTGCTTGTCGCAGCCAGATGAGAGCACCGCCTTCGCGTCGCGTTTTTCATAACGTTGACGCATCATTAGTCTAAAATGCCATTCTGCGGCAAATAAGCTCAAAGCCCGTCTAAGACTTGATCATCGCACCGGTCGCCCGATATATTAATTCATAATTCCAGTCCCGCCACAGCCACCCAACTTTGGTGGTAAGCGGCTTTGCCGTCGTCCGGTTCACTACCACGCCTAACCAAGTGGGGCCTTATGTGGTTCGCCACTCCAAACCTTGGGGCTTAGATCACCGGTTTCCATCACTGAACAGCAGGTCCTCGGGGCTATGAGGTTCGCCCTGTCCGCTGTTCTGAGCACAAAAGTGCGTGATAAAAGAGTTTTCTGTCTGGTGAATTGTCTTAGCTTGGAATACTATCTCACCGATTCAAACTACTGTTTCGCTCTCGAATTACGTTTTGTCGCATTCGATAGCTTTTTGTTTTACTTGTGGCACTTACCAGCTGCATGCCGCGTATCAGTCACCGATGAACGTAGAGCCTCCCGCTACTGTCTGAGCAGTAGTTTTGAAAACCCTAAAAGAATCTCCGAAGGAACCCACTTTTACGTTTCATTTTGACCATATGCTCACCAATCCCTTAGTGGGAATTGGATGAATGGTCGCTGTTGCGCCAGGTACGATATCGCATTTGAACGTATGTGTGTTTGAAGGCTTCGGTGCAGTTCATTTGTGGAACTGTCAGGATGGGTTTACGTGGCTCTTGGCCAGTACTTACACAGAGTTAATTAACAATTAATTACCGTTGCCATTTCAACCGCCCAATCTTGAAAACTGGTTGTTAAGTTCCGCATATCTTTTTGGCAATGCTTCGAAATTAATTTATGTTCTTTTGTATTGCGGCAGCTCCTGGCTTTCGTGGTGGTCGCCCTCGTGGGCGCGGCAGCTCCCGTCGATATGATTCACCTCGACGTAATGGTCGCTTCTCCCCGCCTCCTTACGGCGGTCCAAGATATCCGTACGACCACTTGGCATCGTATTATCATCCCGACGTCGCTAATGCTGCTGCGGCTGCAGCTGCCGCTGGTTTCCCATATGGAATGACTGGTCCGCCTATGCTACCATTCTTGCCTCCTGAAGATTTGCTCCGAAGTTTACAACCTCGTCGACGATCACCTGGAAGAGGTTCCTCGCCAATGTACCAACGTGGGCGCTCTCCTGGTTTCCGCCGAAGGTAACAACCCGGCGTTCACGACATTTTGTTCAGCGTTCTTCACATTCCACCTCATCCACCTTTGCCACGTGACAGCACAGTCTACTCCGCACATCAAGACAAATAAAATCGACGGGTATCTTCCTGCTGATTGCAATCAACCGACGTTTTATTCACACCGTTACCTTTGTAGTCCACTGCGTAACCACCAGTAGTACATAAATCCGACGTGATTGAACACCTAGGATGTCATTTGTTCATGGATAAGTTGGTCTTGTATTGATGTCCATCGTATATTTTACGTCGTTAAGTGTAAAGCACTTGAGTATCTATGGGGATAGCTTACTTCACTGTCGACATCCATCATTAAACTTGCTTCGGTCAGCGACTTCCAGCAGGGGTTTGCGCTTGTCCTCTAACGGGGAGAAGTTTCCAGTCCGTATCCTCAGGATAATCGGGAATAATTGCAGTATCAACATTTCATCTTTTTGGCTACGATCAGATGTACTACAACGCGTGCGCTCCAATGTGGCATGCTGTGATCTCGTTTCTTCGCCGCGCTTTTCATGAAGCATACAAGAAACCCTCACACTTCGGTCGTCGTCTCTAGAAGCTAATATGATGCAAGCCACCACCCTATCTTTAGATAAATAACGTGTAGTTTGTGTAATAATACGAACTCATAAATATTTGCCTTAATCTTGTTGGAATTGAGTAATGTACTGTTTTCTGCGTCCAGTAATTCAATATATTTTGCTTTCTGTATGAATCATAGAAGTCGCAGTCCATTAGGCCCGATGGATCGATCGCGAGGCAGAACACCACCTACAACTTATGATGGTCGAGGCCCTGGTCGTCGTTCAGATCCATATCCGCGCGGTGGTTTTGGTGGTCGTGGGCCGCGGGAACCAAGAAATGGATTTTCGCCACCACCAGTACCCCCTTTTGGTGGGCGGCGTGAAGATGCGAGAATGTACGGGCCTCGCGTAGAGCGAAGGAGATAAACGCTGAGCACCACGTTTGGCGATCTGTGCATTTGTTGTCACCGATTCTCATAGTTGTATAACGAATACATCTTTTTCATCCCTTTTGTATTCTGCTTTGCGCACCAAGATTTATTTCGCACTACGTTGATTTGTAAATACGATTGTAGTTTGCAAGTTGTCGATCTCGTTTAGTGTTACCCGCTGTTAGATTAGAACCCTGATCTCGGCAGTTCCGCTAGATTAGTCAGACCAGAGAGCACAGCAGTGGATACGTTGTCAAAGCCGAGAAGGTCATGATCGTACCGTACTTGTTCAAATGGGGATCTTCCCGATGAAGCAACACCGTGATCTTAGTCCACTCCGCAGATAAATACCTCATGTCAACATACATTCAATGGACAGGTAAACCTCAAGGTAAGGATAAATGGTGAGGATAGGGAACATTGACTGTCCTGCACCTGAGTTGAGTGGAAGTAATAACTGATAGAGATTGTATTGCAGCTGCCTTTTTCGGAAAAAAGAGGTTGCTGTTCGACGGTCTTTCAGGGACACCTGGAAGGCGTTGAATGCTTTTGACGGTACTCTCGCGAGCTATGAAATGTGTCAAATCAGAGTGCATTGCAGAGTAAATCCATGGGGATGACGCTAGGAAAGGGACGAGTGTCCGCGCGGCAGGTCGTTTTTCGAAACAGACGGTGAATAGAGGAATTGTGGAGAGGGTTTTGGGAGGGAAACAATCTCCGTTGGTGTATTCGGCAAGAGCGTGGGTACGGTTGAGAGTTCGTCGTGGAAGTTTCTCGATAGTGAGGAGAGAAGTGTACACCGTTCTTCGTGGGACGCCGGGATCCCTAACAGCAGTCAAGATTGAACGGGCGAAAAGTATCGTTATCTCTAAGTGATGATTATAGACTGGAAGTTTCGTCGATATCCCGCTATGCCAATCTAGTAAACGCATTGGGAATATTGTTAGAAACCGGTTTCGGCTTTGCGTTCATTGACTCCGGACTAAGTATCGGGGTTGATTACCAACGGGTCTCCGGGGCGTACGTGCAGTAAATGACTAACCGTCATTGGGAAGTTTACGGTGTTTCGAATGACGTCTAATTTGTTTTGCGATCGCTGCTTCTCTGGCCGTCGGGAAGGGGGTGTTAGTGGTTTGGATCACGTGGACACTTGAAAGTTCAAGAACACGTGTGATACAGATTGGGAGAATAGGAGGAAGCTCTGGCGCGCGAGTGTTGGGTGCGATTTCGGGGATGCCGTCTAAACTTAGCGATAGCCACGTCCCTGTTGGTGAGGTAAACTGTGTGGACATGCTGAGTAGTGTGTAAGAGAAGATAGGGATATGGCAGAATTGGAAGAGAAAATGGGTCAGGTACCTCTGTTAGGAGGGATCGGTGACTGAACCGACAGAAGCGTTCTGAACTGAGGAAAAGGATGGGAAACTGCTTTGGCAAAGGAATAGAATTAATGGTTAATTGAAAGACGATGGCGACTTTCATAAACTCACAACGTACTTGACTCTCTGGGTGATTGCCAAGCGTTCTTCTCGGGTAAGCACGTAGCAACCGTAGATCAGCATCGAAAGGCCATCCGTTTTTGCACCGATCACCTGAGGCGACATTCATTCAGAGTACTGTCATTCCCGCCGGGAATAAACGGGCGCATACCCGGAATGAGTCTCCGCAGCGGAAATTGACGGGTCGGGAGGGAGCGCCACGGATAGACTACCAGGAATTTGCGGAAGCCGTTCCGGTTAGCAAATATGTAAAGCCAGGATGGGCGGCGAGAAGTGATTGTTGAGGCTACAGGTAGAGTTTGAAGTACTTTTTGGTTAAACAATCAGATGAACCGTGAGTGGAAGAGACTGGTAAATCCGAGAAGGGACAGACCTATGCTCGATAACAAGTCAACAGTATGGGATTGCTCCTCCGTCCGGTGGGGTACAGTTGGAGTTTGTCAATTATGGTTCGCTGTTGACGAAAGCAAATGTCTTCGCCTCGTGTTCTACGGTTGTGGTTGTCGTGGGCTTTGCAAACCGCACGCGTTTGAGATGATTTGAGCGTCAGGGTCCGATTGCAAAATAAATCACCTACACAGTAAAGGAAAATGAAACAAAAGAACCAGACCTGTTAGAAGAACGACAAAAGTTCCGGAGTAGTGGTGCGAAGGCAGGATGCGAAACCTCAGCCACAGGAACTGATTATCATGGATGCATACACCATGGTCATGTAGACTAATGATCGATGCTGTATGGTGAACAAACACTAACTCCAGTTCTGAATAAAAGGGGTGAATACGGTTTGTACCGAGAGAATAGCAGATGTACGTAATCTCTTGAAGAAGAAAATTAAGTCTTGGAAAGAAAAACAGTAAAGCTAAATTCGAGAAAGTGATACGTAGAATTGATCGCACATGTTGGTGAGAGCGCGTGTGGAACGATATGTGGTGTAGTATACAAATTCATAAGTTGTTTTGTGAATCGGAACCTTGATCATGTCCTCTGGCTCAAAACCACGCCTAATCTAGTGGAACCTTAAATGTGGTTCGCCACTCCAAGTCCATTCTTAAGTTTCCGCTTTCCACGCACGACTAACAGGTCCGTATAACGGATTTACTCCATCTGCTGTTCACTGTATATGTATTGATGTATTGATCAAATTTTTACTTTATGTCAGACCATTGAGCCGTCACACCTATCATCAACCAACGATCGCGATGTTCCTTGACCTGAAAGAAGCTTTCGACTCAGTTGACCGCAAAGCTCTAATGGGTTCCTTTCGAAACGGAATGCCCCAGACTTGCGTTTACTGAGTTCATTGTACCCACACACCTTGGGTCGAGCGAGAAACTAAGTAACCCGTTCATCACCATCAGCGGCGTTCGTCAAGGATGCCTTCTTTCACCGTTCCGGTTTAACTTCGTCGTAGACGGAATACTGGAAAACGCACTAAGTGGCCCAAAACTTACGTATTGAATGGGCGACTGGAGAAAATCTGTACGATTTAGAGTATGCCGGTGTCATCATTTGTCTGTGCGAATGTATGGAGGCCGTGCAAAGCGCACCTGATGGACTAACGTGCTGTTACCACATTCGGTATGTGCCTTGCATCTTCAAAGTGCAAAGTGATACTACAAGACTGGGTGTCGCCTAGTCCGGCTTCGAAACTAAATGGCCAGGTATTAGTTACACTGGATTGCTCTTCCTACTTTGTGGTTGTATGAATAATGACGGTAGCGCATCAACGAAGATAAGGCTGAAACAGCGTACCCAGGACTGAAACACCTTTGGTGTAGGAGCGATATTTCACGGAAGCTGAAAAACCGCGTATACTGTGCTATCGTTGGTTCGTTCGCTTCATGACTGTGAAACCTTGCATTTGCGAGCAGGAGATATCCATATACTAGAAGTGTTTACGTCGTTCAATCCACGTGGGATGGGCGAGCGGGTTAGTGATCTGGAGGTAAACTGTCGCGTGTTTGGGAGTTTATCTAGGATAGAGTTACTAGCTCATCGAATTCAGATTAGTCAGCTTCGCTGGCTAGGGCACGAATGGAGTATGTCCAGGTGTCGTCTTTCGCATTGAGCTGCATTCGCTGTTGCTGTTCTGGGGTGGGGGAAACCCCATGGAGTTCAGCGGATGACGTGAAGAAATGCAGAGCTGTTGTGTAAAGTAGGTGTCTCGCGCCTTCCGGGTTGCGGTCCGAAAAACTGCAACAGATTGGTTGGAGACATTGAAGGATATTGCAGCGAACCGACAGCAGTGGCGTTCTTGCTGTCATTTCTTGTGTGCACAGCTAGATTGTGCACTCTATGTTGACCATAGAGGTTCACTTTCCCCCCCCCTTCCTCAAAATAGGTCCAATCCCGGTCCTTCTTACATATTATCACTAAGTTTGTATGCATTGCGAGTTTGGCAGCGATCAGTGAAGTTCGCTTCACTGTATGATGATGATGATTGGGAGTAGAGAAATCATCCAATACGGATTTCAAAGTCACTTAATCGAAGCGCATTGGTATAGAGGCAGGGAGCGCGATCACCGCAAGGTACGTGTTTGTGTGTGTGTGGGGGGGGGGGTAGCCAGGGACCCACCAGGGTAGCGCTTGGCTGGTTATGAATTCAGACCGTTGACACAAATATGGTTCGTAACGTCGGATGGCAGTCAGTTCAGCCAACCGTAGTACACGGCTACCCTTCTGACTGATCAAGACAACCTCATACCCTCGTGCCAGGTCTTATTTTGGCCACCCTTGGTTTTTTCCCATCCGCTACCTGCCCCCGCAAGCCCATTTGGAGACATGCGTAACACATACCCCAACCAACGTAATCTATGGTGGTCGACCACTTGCTCCAGTGGATGATCGCGATTACCTAAAACCCTGCACCTAACACCAGCATTGCTTGTACGGTTTCCCCACCAGACTCGTGCAATGCTGCTTAGACAACGACAGCCTACCTTTGTCCTGCTTTCTTAATGGTCAAGTTTTTGCGCTGTATAACAGAATCGGCCGAACTGCACAGTATATACTCGACCCTTCACCACAAACCGGGTGTCGCGGCCCTGCCGCGGATCTCTCAAGTTAGCAAGTGCTAACCGAGCCTTCTGTATGCTAGCTGACACTTCATCTGTGATGCGTCCACCGGGTGAGATAGCTGACTAAATAACAAAAATTGTCCATTTACTGTATTATTTCTCCAGTAAGAGTGAGACTGGGTGCAGGACTAACCCAGTCCTGTAGCAATATTTTACACTTTGAAGGTGCAAAACGCATACCGAACATGGCTACGCTGTCACTCAAACTATTTAGAAAAGCGTGCAACTTATCTGGATCCTCACCTAGCGGTACGATGTCTTCTGTGTACTCCTGATCAGACAGTCTATCATCTCGGAACAACTAGGTACTGAGCACGACGATAGGGCTGTTTCAAGAATTGAATTTATGACTAAGTTAAGTAGAAACGGAGAGAGATGGCAACCCTGACGAACACCACTTCCAGTAATTTACTCGGGCGAAAAACGCCGTAAGCTCAGACTCGGCCACGGTCATTGGTATAAATGAATCTAATTTATTAAAACGGAATAGCCTTATATATCGAATAAATAAGCCATCGGTAAGTGAATACACTAAACTTTGAACTACATCAGTAGGCAATCCAGTGCGAGCTTCATAATTCCATTGCTAGGAAGAGGTTGGCGGCTTTCAAGAAAGGTGAAATGTTTGTGCTTGACCGGAACAATCCGTGGTCCACTCACAGTTAAAGTAGGCGATCTCCGTTGTCTGTTCAGTGGGAAGAAGACTTTAATTGTATTGTATTGTAATAACTTCTGCAAGCATGAAGCCCACATTTCAGTTGAAAAGTATACGGTTTGGAGCAAGGGAGAGAATGAAAATAACAATGAAAAAAGCGGTTTAAGTTCCAAAACTGTTAACAAATTCTGTGAAAACCTGTTGTCTGTTAACAAGAATACGCGCTAATGAGGGTACTGTGGAGTTACGATAAATGTTTATTCTAGAGGGAACACAACGATATTGTGGTCTAGTTGAGGGATGGGAACAACAGCACGTTAGGTCAGCGTGTAGCGGATGTGTGGAGTCGATGAGAATCTTATGCTCAAACTTTTCACATGCATTCAAATGATGTTCGCATGGATTAGTTATCAACTCCTTTAGTGCGATTGAAGATGGTCAATCCACGTCGAAGCAAATTAAAATCTTTCCGAAGGAGGTTGGGAAAAATAGCAGGTAAACAATAAAGTAAAACAGGGAAAACACACTGATACACAAAGTTAGAAATTATTGATTGTGGAATGCGAAAATGACGAAGTTTACGGATATGAAAAGAAAGTCGTCAAAGCTTACTGACGATGTGTTGAATGTGAGAGGTCCAGTGAAGATTAGTATCAATAAAAACGCCCAGGTATTTAATGCAGTTTACCCGGGATACTGGTTCGGAACCAATCGATACCGGTTCAGATGGGAAAGAAGAGCGTGATAGTGTAAAGAGACATTCGAAACATTTGGAGGGATTAAGGGATNAGTTTACGGATATGAAAAGAAAGTCGTCAAAGCTTACTGACGATGTGTTGAATGTGAGAGGTCCAGTGAAGATTAGTATCAATAAAAACGCCCAGGTATTTAATGCAGTTTACCCGGGATACTGGTTCGGAACCAATCGATACCGGTTCAGATGGGAAAGAAGAGCGTGATAGTGTAAAGAGACATTCGAAACATTTGGAGGGATTAAGGGATAGGCCAAATGTGGCGGAAAACCGTTGGACGTTATCCAAGTTGTCAGATGATTTGTCCAGGGATCCCAGTTGAGCACTGAAGTCTCCAGCGACTACCACGATATCCGTTGACCGAGCACTTTGGAGCAGTTGAGAAAGATCCTTGTAGAATTCATCGTTCATTTCTGGTGAACTGCAATTGTCGCATAGACGGGTACGGCGAATAAGCATCGACGCTTCGTTCTGTAGCTGTTGACACATGCTGAACAGTTGAGGCGTACAGCGCACAATCGACTACTGACTGGAATCCAGTCAAGAAGCGAGCGCTCAGCCTTGGCACTTGGAGGAATCCAGACATCAAAGCCGCGAGCGTCGGATGCTGAATCGCCTGACACATGAGGGGTAAGGCTTGAGGATGAGGTTGGGCAAAGAGAACACAAGAGGATGATTTAAGTAGGGTATTTTATGCGTGTTTCGGAGACACAGCATACATCTAAGTTGAAAGTTTCAAGGGTTCTAGCCAAGGCAGCTTGTTGAAAAAGGAATTTGGGCTTAAAAAAACTTGATAACTTCTGACTGTTTAGCCTTACTGGTAAAACACTGTGATATACCATGTGTGGGGTAAGCAGGAGGCATCTCGGATTACCTGGGATTGAGAGGAAGAACTAGATAGATGGGAAAGAGTTTATCCCAAACGGGTGCATTAGACTTCAAGGTATGAAACACGTCGCGATAACCCACACCGACGAAGGGGATTTTCTTTGGGCACCCTAACCGGAGCTTTTGACTCAAAAATCTTACCCACAAGATAGTAGGACGTAGATCCAACGGGGAAGCTTGACCGAAGCACTCATGTGGGAACTTCTAGAAGTCTGTGATGCAAGGCTCAATAGGCTTCGCTGGTTACCGCACCGCGCCTTATTTGCAATTTGTGCGCCAGGCTGGAGCAAACCACGTGGAGGTCAACGGGATAACGTGGAGATGAGGCACGAAGAAATGCACCGAGCAATTGAGTAATCTAAATGTTTTCGGTCTTCCAGGCCGGTGTCCAAAAGACTACGTTAATGAAGAGCATGACAGCGAACAGGAAGTATTGACCTTTTTGTTATCAATTTTTATCTGGCCAAAGTGTTACTGTTAGACTGTGCTCTCCGCGTACTCGTCGCAAACATTCACCCCTATCTATCCTACGCATTCATACTTAATTTGTGTATATTGTGAGTTTAGCCGCGATCGCTGAGGTTGGTTCCACTTAGTTTTGCTGTATGATGACGATCATGATCCCGGGTTCTATAAATGAAAGAAGGAAAGCATGGTCGAACCCTCAAAAAGTTACCTTCGTTATGTAAGATACAGCAGTAACATCTGCTTAGAGTACTTTACGGCCGCTGACTCCTGGGAGCGGATAAGTCGGCTTCATGTTCCAGCTTGACTTCCATTCGCAGTCGCCGTAGGCGGAGCAAATACCAAGGTTTTCTGTATCTTTGCCGGGCTTTCAGCTGACCACCGTGTCGACAGCGCCAGTTCGGGTAGGGAGGCGTGCCAAGGCACCTTTGGTCAGGTCGTCATCAGACTTACGAAGTATGTGACCGTCGCCGTCGTTGCACTAGCGTTCGCAGCCATATAAGATTAAAACACCGCTTTCTGACCATTTCATTCGAGAGCTGATCCCTCCTTCGAACCTCCAGAATGACCCTTAGACACCAGTGATAGAAGACTTGTAATCGTTGACAGTCTTCTTCTCAAAGTGGTTAGGTTTCATAGCCGTATAGCAAGACAGGACGGACTGCTGCGGAGACAATCCGTATTTTTGTCTTTAGGCTGATTTCATTTCTACGCCGTAGGGAATTCCTCGACTGTAGAAAGGCCCTTCTTACAGCATCGAAGCGCACTTCTACCCCGTCTTTAGCTTGATCGTTGGGGAGTGCGGTTTAGCCAAGGTAGTTAAAGCTTTCGACGGATTCGATAGGCTCGCCGTTCAGTAATAGTAATGCATCTTTGGGATAAGTTGGGACTGTCGAAAACGTTATGGTTTTTGATGTGTTCACCTCTAGGCCAATCTCAGAGACTTGCCGACTGACGCGGTTAACAATTACTTGTAGATCGTACATGTCCTCACTACAGACGACAATATAACCAGCGAATACTAAATCGGTAAGGCATAAGTTCAGAGAAATCTGAATTTCATGGTATCCTTCCATCGAACGACCCATTAACCAGTCAACGGCAAAGTTGAACAGCATTGAGCACTCCAGATCCTACCCCGAACGTGCATGACTCCTCTCTGTAGATGCGGATTCGGACACTAGTTTTGGAGTAGTAGGGTCTCATGAGGTTGATAAGCTTTACTGGAACACTCTCCGGCAGAATTATGTTCGAGGGATTCGCGATCTACGGAATGGAATGCCGCACGAAAATCAATGAAGCAGACTGATGTGGGTTGTTGAAACTTGTGTCGATGTTCCAAGAGTCGACGTAAAGTGAATATTTGGTCAACGCAGCCCACACCGGGATGGAATCCTTTTTGGCTAGGACAGGTGCGTTCATGCCTTGCTGCAACAAAGCGGTTCGATAGAAGTTGCACAAACACCTTGGTAGCCACATCAAACAAAGTGAAGCCTCTGTAGTTTTCGCATTTGTCACTATTTTTATGGAAACGTGGTAAAATAGATGCGGTCCAGTCAGTTAGACAAATTTCAGTTTCCCAGATTGCACACAGTAAACTATGGAGAGGGTTTAAAATGGCTGGCGAACACTTTGCGGAGATTTCCGCGGCTTGAGATGGTTGATGATATCAGAGACTTCTACTGATGGCGGAGTGCAGCCTGCTTCGTATGGTGATGATGGCGAGGAGAACGCATACGGAAGTTGGATTTGAGGGCGATTGAGAAGAAGACTGAAGTGTTCCACCCACCGAGACAGTTTTCCTTCCACATCGGAAATGAGCTCGCCGGAGGCGCCGCGCAACATAGACTGGGTGACTTATTCCTTGACCGATGCTGATCGAATAAGCCGGAAGAGGGTCTCCGTGTTGCTCAGGTTGGCTTCTGCCTCCATTTTTGTCGCCATTTCATTCCAGTTATTGTATCTATCGTTTCTGGCCGATCGCGTTGTTTGTCGTCTGAGGTCACAATAAGCCAGGCGTGCGTCTCTGGCCGCATTAGCTGACGGGATGGTGTGGTTGGATATCCAGTCCTTCAGACGATGGGTCTCAGTGCCTAGTTCGTATAGAGCAGCTTGTTGTACCGATGACTTCAACCTGGTTCACTGAGTTTCAACCAAACTTTCTGTGCTTCAATAGTTGTGCAGTTCTCATGCCCATCAGTGCCCGGAATTTCTCGCTTTTCCCCAGTGAAAGCATATTTAAGCATTTTGATGGAGTATAACTTTCGCGCGAACTAGTATGTGATCAGATCCGTTTTTGTTCCCGCGATAGAATCGACAGTCTTTGACCGAAGAAACCTATCGTGAACGGCTGAGAAGGTAATCTAATTGATGTGCTGTTCGTCCGTCGTTGGGGTATCACGTCAGAAAATGCGTTTTTTTATGTAGAAACCGGTGTGTTGGCAATAAACAGTCGAAGTTGAGTAGTCTGTCACCAGTCTCGCAGCGCTGACCCAGGCCAAATCTCCCTAAGATGTGCTTCATACCCTCTTCTTATGAACCAGATAGAGCGTTCCAGTCCCCTGCTATGGTAAGTACATCCCCCGTTTGTTTACTTCATTAACAAGTGATTGAAGGCTGCCAGAGAACTTATCCTTAGCGTTGTTGTCAGATGGGAGATTCGGGATGTAGACGGTGATTACTATGAGGCTTACCGGATGGTACTTGAATCGTGCGTGTTACTACAATCCTAGCGGATACCGAATTCCAGGAAAGTAAAGCATTATGGCTTAAAGCAAGTGCCACTCCGTGTTGACCTGACGCTTCATTGGCGCTGTGATACTGCCAGTATTAACTATCGATGTCTGGGATTTCGATACTTTTAGAGCTAGAGCTCGCTACTCTGACTTCTGATAGAAATGTCATATCCAGCTGATAGTTCTGCAGCGCACGAATCGTTAGTGCCTGACTCCTAGCATCTAAGAGTGTTCTTACGTCCTAGCATCCGATGCAAGAAGTTTTGCGTAGTTTAAGGTATCTATTGCGCATAATTGTCACCCCGAGCCACTGGAGGATCACAGGGCGCGTCGCTTCCCGCGAACGCCGTAGCATCATCAGCAAGACAGATAAAGTGAATATCCATGAAATTTCTTGGGAATTAGGAAACGTCCTTAGCGTCACCTGGCTTTGGGTCGAGGTGGCATCTAGCCTTTGCACATCCCAGTGCTAACTACAAGGCAGCGCGTGGTTGCCGATGGCCCTCTGGGGGAAGGCTCCTACGGCATTGACAGTTTCTAGCTGAACAGGGTTCCACGTATCCCTGGTGAGTACGGAGTCATTGCCGTAACCTTTGAGTCTTGTGAGTCACTTCATCGGCCTAACACGCCAGTACCGCATACATTCGTTAGATACTGACTTGCCGGGAGTTGAACTTCTGGTTGCCCCCAACCTGGTTTGGCTCGCCTGTCGAGCGGTTTATCGGGGTGTGCTCACTGTTGAATCCAGATAGATTCTTGGAGTCAGGTGAGAGCTGAGCACCTGGTGGAGACCGAAAAACGGAGGATGCCCCAAATGGGTCGTCAGCCCTCCGAGTCAGAGGTGCTACTCCCACCGGGTACCTCACACCTTTGCTTTTTGGAAAATTTCTACGTAAACAACTCCAGCTTCCTAACATCTTAACGGGATGACCACTTCATTGACCAATCAGAGCGAAAATGACACCATCTGGTTGTTTTGTAAGGAAAACCTTCTTAGTTCACGGGCAATAAACTGACCATGTTAAGACGAAGAATAATATCAAGAATAGTAAGCATGTGTTTCGCAAGACTAACTCCGCTCATCGGCTTTTCAGAAACTCGTGCATCGCCAAACACAGTCGGAAAAGGCTAAGGGTAAAGATACATTCAAGGCACTAGTTATGGTTAAAATTACGACCGGACGATGATGAGCAATGTACAACAAGGTGAGATATGCTCGTTTTCTATGACTCAAGTTCCAGTTGTCTAGAAATAACGGCAAGTCCTCAGCATACTTGAATGATGTACAGGAACGTAACAGGTAAACCACCGATGCAACTGGCAAAATATAGGGTAACAAGACAGCACTTGGTCTTTTTCGTAATTTACCATGCCGGTGTCATCTGTTGATAAATATCGGAAGATGGACAGGTAGCGATGTATGAGATACAGAGCCAGAGGCTTGAACAATAACACAGAAAGAACTGCACTATGCATATTGTTCACCCCGTAGACAGGGGTGTTACAAAGAAAATGAACTGAGGAATAGATGACTCCCACTGTACTCTGGTTAGTCCTTCATGCAAAAATTGATAAATGTCATTGTGATAGACAAGAGATCCAAAGGCCGGATAACGTTGTTGCGAACCCAAAGCGTTTTACTAGAAGGCTCTTCGGGTGTCGTCTAGCTCGACTGAACCTCCTTTAATACCAGACAGAGCGTCAGAGTACAAACGATTGAAAGCTGAGATGCACTTGAATGGTTGAACGTCGACACACTCATCGTGCCAGTATAGTATAGTGCCATATGTGTAAAACAAATTCGATTTCACTGTGTTGGTTTCATAACCAATCATCTTTTCAAACTGTTCTACGTGATCCAGGACCGAGTAAATGGTGTTTGATGTTGCACCAAACGTGACTATTCGAGATCAACGAGTAAAATGTTGAGACCAAGCAGAATACCGTAATCACCGGTAAGCGATTTTGACGCAGTGTTGTGCAGGTGAATGCCGTCAACGACAGATGATGGTACTGTGTGATGCCGTTATTCAGTTAGGATCTATTCCGCCCTCCTTCATTGATGTAAATTTTCGGTGGTGTAGTATAACTTCAGAATAATTAAAATCTTACCGGGCATTCCATCAACTTGAATTATTTTCTAAAGTCACTTTTTATTACCAAAACAAATGGATTTGGGATTTTTTAGCGATGCACTATAGCTCTGTGTAAGAAGAAAGTTTAGTCAACTCATCTTTCACCGGGGCAAACTCCCCCGTTGACTGAAGTGCTTTGGACCAACCCGTACTACAACAATGCGATTTAGTCGGCTCGGTGAAAGTTTCGTAGATCCTTTTATCAAGCCAATGTTTCTTGGTACGGGGTGGAAGTAGGTTGATGTTATTCCAAATTGATGCTATCTTTAGTGCCCACAACAATGATGTCCACGATAACGGAAGTCGAGCAACGGACGACGGAAAAAGCCAAAAAGAATAACTGATATCACAAAACCTGTAGATCAGAGAGAGAAGCGTATATGTGATTACGTGTGCAGAAAGTGAAATTCAACGTGCCGTGATCAACGAGGTGGTCTTGGTCCGGTAAAACAACAAAGTCCGAATATGGGGAAGATACATATGTGGAGAAGTTTGGTGCTGTCACTACATATCGACTTCCTCACCGTAGAGTGAAGTGCCAAGACCTCAGTAGAGTTAGTATACTTCGGTAGCGATAACTTCCTATCCAGCAGTCTTTTCATTCTTCAAACGCAGAATCTGACCGGTTTTGTTGATCCATGTAAAAATCATAGCAATCCAGTTTGGTGGGAGAAATAGTTGGAGAAGAACGGTCCATGAATTGTGATCGAAATGTTACACTTGCATCTTCATACTGTGCTCAGTAACGAGCTGGTCTACGGTGATACGGGATACGCTTGAGACGAAAAGGTTGGCCGGAATTTCCCACATTCGTCGCTAACTTCATATTTTCCGTAATTCCGGACTAGTAATTGCTGTGTTGGGCGAGCGAGCGGATTCCTTTCAAAATGCCTGCTATTTTGAAGATCAATGTAGCTGACTGACTAGAATTTTTAGTGCTCTTTCTGAGATTCATCCTCTCCATCGCGCGCTGCCAGAAAAGCTTGCTGAATAAATGATTTCAGCCCGACCAATTCTCTCCTGAGTGGGCCTCCAACCCACCGTAGTGTTCAGTTACTAAGTGAGCTATAGAGCCTGTCGTTCGAAGGGTCATTTTATTGTTTTTATCTCTGTTTTGGAACAGCCTTCTTGCAACGATTGATCAGCTGAATTCTGAAGCGTGTCCGTTCAAGAGTGTAAACCATACTCCCTCTCTCTGCTCCCTAATTACACATTTCTACAACAGTTGTGAATGACACTGAACAAGTTCGTATCAAAATGGGGCCGCTTTGTTGAAATGTCGTTTGCGTACCACAGTGAGAGTTTCCTCCCATTTGTAATGACCAGTTGATTGTGACATACGAAGTCGGCGAAACGGTCGCTCGCCAGTGTAGCAGCGTCGTTCAGTAACACAAAAACAGGCGTTCTAATCACCTACTACTCGAAAAATGTCACGCTTTCAGATTCTGTCGTTTGCTTGTTATAACCGGCTCTAGAAATCATCAGCTGCCATGGCTGGTGTATAGATGGAGATCACCGGTATAATCGGATGTGTTGCCAAGAAGCGAATGACAGGGATCTGAGGGGATACCGGTTCCCACTTTATCACGGTCGTATTTATTCTACGACCGCAAGTGATTGCCGTGCCATGTCGAGCCGGTATTTTTGAAAGTCACGCTATGATAGAAATAATAACCTACGTTATTTCCTTGTTAAACACGAGTTCGGTCAATGGGTTTGTGAAAGTAACGCCAGATCAGTTCGGTGATCGTGTGCAGCGAGTGTCAACCTTGAGGAAATCGATATAGATATGGCTTTGTGAATCGAGCTTCCTCAGCTAACTCACCGGTGAAGCAAGAGGTGCCTCCGTTCCGGGGGACGTTGAACGTATAAAAGAATCTTTGTTACGGTGATTGTCGTCCCCCTGACTAATCTGAGTAATAGGGCCGCTGGGCCATTGCACAAACCAGTGTGAATTACAAAACAGTCAAAGTATCTGAATGAGCTTTGCTGGAAAAAAGAACGAACGTGTATTCGGGAGGTTAATTCCTAGTTATGTAAATTACCGTTTAGAGGGGAGGGGATAAATAAAAGAAATTAAAAATTAAAAAACCACTACAAGAGATTGCACAACTTTATGAATTAAATAGAAGCAATATCAAATGAACGGAATAGAAACAGCGACTTCTATACAGCCTTTGAGATTAATCCTTTTGTGGTATAAAGTATTGTATAATGTTAGTCCTATTCGACCATACAATACAAGTTCAATGGCTACAGATTACCATTTGATGAAGTGAGTTCTTTTGATCGTTGCTGAAAACTGAATGGAAATACTTGTGAGATAATTTCCGGTGATTTGTGGACTGTTACCCACATATGGCTATCCCGACAACAAGAGGGTATTTCTGTTCGGATCCTACAGACACTGGTCCCTATCACTCATTCATAATTGTTGTTTTTACAAGGAACAAACTGTTCAGTTTTGTCGCCATTTTCATCTGTACGTGATTTCCTCATCCTCAGGTTTCTATCTTGTTTTGTCCAGGAAGTCTCGGAATCCAAACCCGATAGAAATGTTTCACCTCGTGAAGCGACTAAATTGGAGGAGGTTGCTCCAGCCAATCCGATCAGTCGATCTTGTCTGACTCCAGAGGGAAAAATATGGCCGGCATCCGTATCTGTCTATCCGGATATGTATTTTTGCTCAAAAGTGAGTTGGCGTTATAAATTTTTCAGACCAGTCAATTCGGTCAGAGTGAATTTTTTTATTTATATAACTGTATTAGCCAGATGAGGAAGTTATCGAAAACGAGCTTGTTCGCTATTTCGTGTTTAGTGATTTTTTTGTAATTCCTTCTCAAGCCGTTTACAGATTACATAGGTAACATTAGAAAACAGATCACACAGTTCGACACATCACCAATCATGAGTAAGAGTTTGTCATAGTCAACTGGCATTTGTCATTTGATTGGTTTAACTAAGTTACGGCATNACTCGGGACCGATCGGTCACGGGCCATGGAAGTTGGAGTGGCTGAACTAAACGCTTTTGGGCGCAGAGGTCAGGGGTCAACTTTCTTATCCCGATCGCTTCGGCTATTGCTAGAGTGCGCAGTTGAACACCCTTGCACTTGGTTTGGGGGACACGATAAGTTTTATGGGTTTTATTGCAGTTTTGGTTAAAAAGAAAGCGGACGGGTGAGATTTTTTGAAAGCTGGGTTTACTGGTTGTCGAAAACGAGCTTGTTCGCTAAAACCACCGTGTTTTCTCTCCATGTGGAGATGGGAATTTTCCATGATTTACTGGTTGAATTGGTCCAGTGCCATGTTGAGCTTTCATCCATTTCGTGTTGTCTATCAGAAGGTTCTGAGATAAGCTCTTACAGGTTCTTGTGTCCCTCAGTTCTACATTGATTCCTAATTACTTGCGTTCGCTGCATGAAACACGGATACATGGATACTGTTCGGAGATTAACTCCACCAGGGGTGATCCTACTACCCTTTCTCTTTCAGCACAGTCCGAGGATTTGTCAGAAAGATTTTGTCAAACGAGTTCACTTGTTGCCTTTCGCGAACATTCTGGCCACTGAATGCAATTCGTGATCCACAAGATAATTGGAACAGGAAGTGAAAAGTTGGAAATAACAAAAAAATACGGCTACTATTTTTCTCTTTCGGGATTGTGTGGGTGTATCGGCCCATTCAACGGTGCGCATATGATGAGGGTCTAACCCGGGATCAATACAGATAGAGCACTACCATTGTCATCAACGACCTCCAGCCGAGGAAGATGATCAAACTGACTCAGGCGACCTTTGCATCGATATATGACGAATTTTATTCGTTCAATCCAATTTCCTTCCCTCTCCCTCCAATTCATTGAGATCGTTGAAACAGAAACCTCAGAATCACAGTTGGCTCATGGTGCAACACTCCTAAGCGAATCTTGTCGGTACACGGCTTGATTTCTGCTAGATCCATCTCTCTAAAAGTCACATGAGTTGCCTGTCTGTTGCGCCATACCAGCTGTGACAGACGGGTTGTGCCGATTAGAGAAGAAAAGTACTGTGTAGACTGTACCAGCCACACACACACACGAACATTGTATCAAATGAAACTCTTCCTCTTCGACCTGCGTACTCATACGAACGAATACTGTGGTACAATAAGATGGGAATTTACGTGCGTATATTCATATATCCCCGGCCAGCAAACAACTAATGGTCTATTGTTTTTCCACAAAAAATCCAGACACGGTTATATCTATCATTATTGACTGCCATTATTAACAAATGCATAGATTATAAAGAGTGAAAAATGCGGCGCAGTCTGTTTCAAATAATTCCAATCTTTTGAGATATGTCCTGGACGTTTTTATGGGCTTTGTCTGTTTAGTACCGTTATACGTCAAGCTCATAACAATAGCCACTTGTTTTGTGTTTTGTGCGTGAATGTGATTGGTTTTATCGTGGAACACCGGAAAAAGAACTATTTCAAAATTTATGACCCCTCCCCGGGGTGGGGGGAGGCGAGAAATACATATGGATTCCCATTGTTTTCAGTTTGGATGATTTCCGGATCGATTAGAAATATTTTTCCCGTCTCCCCATCTATATCAAGACAAGAACGAATGAAGTTTATTGACGAACTCCGTTGACTCATGCACAAAGTTAAAATGTATGTGAACGACGAAAAAACTGAATAATAATAATAATAGTAATACAGATACCAATTTCTATGGGGATGCTGAGTGACCTACGTAGGAAGAACACAGCAACAATTACGTGACTGGGGTTGAACATATTCCCAATTGGGTTCAAAGTCAGATGACGCCATCAGGGTCAAGTTTGCGGCATAGAAACGATGGTTGAAACCTCTGATGATGCAACCTAAGGTTGACCGAAGCACGAAGTTTGGGATTGTTTACAAGATACAACTCGCAAGATAGCTAAGGTTTGCCGAAGCGATTGCAATCTACAGATGGAATCCCCCCCTTGTGTGAACACAAAGCACTTTCTGTTAGCTTGTCCTTACCATGGTAACATGGTTCTCCTTTTAACCCACCCCTTATGTTTGTCTGCTTTATTGTATTTTAGTGTACGTTGTTACCATACCAAAGACCTTCATAAATATTACCTTTTCTCCATTGTGCACCGTGTTGCGATGCAGAGAAATAGTTCTGGACATAAATCGTGCAGTATTGCCACATGGGCTTTTCGTTTGAAAATGATCTCGGAAAAGGCTAGCTTAAAATAAAATAAAATAACAAAAAATGCACAAAACTGGAACAACACGAAGTATTGCGATAGAAATGGAGCCCGTTCGTTCTTACGGGAAGGGGTTTTCGCTAACAATTCGGGATTCCTGATCTAAACAAGAATAGGAATGTTACCACCATTATCGATTCACTGTCATATTGAACAATTAAAAACCTCTCGAAGGACAATCGAAATCAAAAGTTGAAAGACGATCAGAGAGAACCATCCACCCCGTCGAGTTGTTTTCATTTCATGATTCCTCTCCACGCTGCTCACTCTGCGTGCATCGGCTTCCTGGGAAAAATAAGTGACTGATGCGAACCTTGTGTCAATTGTAGTCAATTGTATCTACGTCAGTTCCTTTTGAATAATTCAATTTCTTTCAAATCACTCTAAATCCAGTGGCACCTTGCCTATGCGCTGGTAATTCACCACTGGTGACCGACACCGCGCTGCACAAACATCGGTTTCTAACTCCCTGTTCTCAAAATCGATCCATATCTTTCATATTAAACCGTAAGGTCTCAAAACCACCAGGCCGAAGTGATCCTAGTGTCACAAATTCAAAGTCAGAGCAAAATTTCGATTCATCTTGAGCCTTGGTGGTGTATGCAATGAAGTATAATCTAGTTCAGTTCATACAACAATGGACCGCGTGCTGGTTTTGATTTCCGTTTCTGGCGCATCGTTGGATCGATCAGTAGAGGAATGCGTGAAATGTTGGTAGCAGTAGCAAGATAACGACACGGGATGCGGGTGAGCTGGATGTGCATAAATGCACCAGAGCCATTGTTTAGGTCATTCAACCTGATCAATCTTGACTGAATTTTAGGTTGGTTACCATATCCGCTACCATAAGGCTTAGCGTGAATCATTTGATGTAATCATTTATGGTCCGATAGTATTTGGTCTTTCTACAACTACTGCCCATCTCGAAAAACATCGATGTTTGAATATCAACAATCTTTATTTTCTATCATTAACGGCCATGTTTGTGAATCTTATAAAAAAACTACTGAAGCATAAACTTAAACCGACAGTCACATGTTGTGGCGGTACCAAGGGAATTTCATACTCCAGAATAATCGCATTGTAACATCAGAATACAAGTGCGAAGGCGAACAATTGATTTCGAATTATTCATAATCGTGCCTGTGCAGATTATATAATGGTTTGTTGTTAGTGGGGACACAATTTCACGCTGGGTCGAAAGGT